CCCACAAACACACACTTTCCCAGTTTTGCCACCTCTATGAGGCTAACATTAAGTAATGCTTACCAACATGTATTTCCTAAGGGGGATATAAAATAATACCTGTCACTACATGGATTGTCTCCGCCGTCCTCTAGTGGGCCATATTATCGTCCAGGTTGACAAACGATGGTTTAGTACAAATGGAATGGCATAATACTGGGGAGGAACGGGGGGTCGTTCTCGTCTCGGTACGATAGGAGTGTATTGCCATAGGCTGACTAAACGCCTTCTTTTTAAATTCACAGCAGTTCCGAGATAAACAGACTTTTGGTCAGCTTAACCATTAAAAAAAGCGTGTTCTTCCAAAATTGAAATTTAATTTATTTAAAAACTAGTTAAAGTTTCACCTAATTCTTTTTTTCACACTAATATGGTAACTGATCAGGCTATCGATTTGGCAAATAAAACATTTGGCGCCCAAAATGGAAAAAGGCGATTTGTCAGCTTACGGCAGAGTGATGTGTCGTGTTTCTGAGTGGGTAAATCGGAAATCTTTTTTAGTGCCACCCCTCAGCTTGAAAAGCTTCAAGAATTTGTTCTTGGCACTGTTTGAGTTGCCCCTGATGTTGCTGTGCTTGGAGTGGTTTGAGATGGCAACCTTTATGTCTGGCCCCTTTATTTCCCGTGCTTTTCTGTTTATCTCTCGTGTTCTTTATCCGGCCTTATGTGTTTGTTGTTGTGTCGATGTGCTTGTTTATACACAAACAACAGCAGACCCCCATTGTTCCTGAACGTTGATAATAGTTACTTTGCAACTGGTGCAGATCTGCAACGGGTGTTTAGAAAGCATATAATTTTAAAGAATAATTATGAAAGTTACACTCAGTTAGATCTGCGTATATTTGCCGGAAGCTTTGTTTTACATTCTCGTGCTCTGAAAACCCTGTGCGTCTCACCAGTGTTGATCTTTTCACGTTAATGATTATAACAATAATAAATAATAATAATAGCATCCGTATAGTGTATACCCCTGCTCGACAGAAAGCTCTATGTGCGTAACACTATAATATAATATAATAATATTATTATTTACCGAGCAGACCATAGAACACCCAGAAGCATTCTTGGAGCCCCGGGTAGCATACAGTGCAAGCAGCTGATTAAGCGCTGAAACACTAACAAACCGACAAGATCATTCACTGTCTATAACAGTGTACCCATTCCCACATGATGACACACGCCCACACGCCTCGCAGGTCTTTGTTAGCTAACTCTTAAAGGACATATGCCCGATCAGCAGCAGACGAAAGACAATGTTGGGACACATTTCAAACCATCATTCACGAATCAGAAACACTATCTTACCTTGCACTTTGCGTAGTATGCATTTTGTTGCCTGCCCTTTTAAGTTTCAGATAAGGGAAGCACTGTTGGAAAATATATGAGGCGTCATAGTGAAATCGTGTGCTCGTCAAAATAATGAAATCAAAGAAACCGACATTTCTCTGGGCATTAGCTAATTTCTTTCAAAAAATTTTTTTGGGCTCAACACCGTTTAACATCATAAAAACACATTCTGTGTGGATTTTACTGGAAAAGGGTTGATCAAGGCACACTAAAAAATGTAAATTTGCAATTTCCAAGGACATCTAAGCTTTGAAATTCACTAAATCTTGCCGGCCATTTTCTCGCTAATTTTACTTCTACACCATGCGACCCCAATCTCTCTCAACGGCAAATATCTCGACTTCTGTTCTAGATACGTGGGTATTTTATTCACCAAAAGCAAGACAAACGAAAAGGCTTTAAGACTGACGATCGAGCGCCTGATTCCACCGTGTTGTGACACAACATGAATAACGAAGACATTATGTTTTTTTTCTAAAATACCCGAAAACCGTGCGACCCCAATGAGTTGAGACGTTTGCCCAGCACGAAGTAATTCAGGGCTCCAGGCATCACCTGTTTAGTTGGCATCACCACACAGCAGGTGATGTTAGGAATAACCCTTGTTGTATGTGGGTTGTTTGGAACGTTTTCGAGGCTTTCCACGCAGTCAACTCTGTCTCTTAGATGAACGGCGATTCAATAAGAGTTTTACGGCACTCGCAACATAATTAAATTAGATCTATATAAGTGCCGAAGATTAGAAATATTGCAAGAACGTTATTATTAATAGATCTATCATGGTTGTTGTTGGTGGTGTTGTTATTATTTTAAAAAATAATAATAATAATAAACATATTTATTATACAAATTA